GAAACAAAATGTATTTAAAAGAGTGCATATAAATAAATAATTTAAATAAAGTAATTTACTTTTATAATTTTAAATATTTTGGAATAAAATAATATTTTATTTAGATAAAGAATTTATAAAGAATTTTAAATTTAAATATTTATAAAAAAATTTAAAATAATAAAATTCTTTATATTTTTTTATCTCACTTATATCTTTTATTCTTATCTCTTCATATTTTTAATTATTGAATATTTAAAAATATTTTTAAAATTATTAAATATTATCTAATATTAATTTTTAAAATTATTAAATAATTAAAATTTCGTTAATATTTTTTTTATAAAATTTAATCTTAAAATCTTTATATGTATATATATATATAGAGAACATATCAAGTGAGAGAAAATTTATTATGAGAAATTAATTTTCTCTCACTTGATTAAACGGTTCGAGTACTTGAATAAGAGGGTTGTTATTTATAATTTTATATACAAAAAATGGTTCACAGTAAGAGCCTTTATTTATATGATAATAACTCTTATACTAAAAATAAACAACTTAAATAAAAAAATTACAAATAAAATTTTATGTATAACTACTATTATAATTATCTCTATTACGGATTTCATTATTGATTAGTGCTATTTTTACTCATTCTATTTCCCACTAAGTCATTGTCTTTCTTTGTCACTGGGTCCTGTAGAAATGTAACGATTTCTTTCGGTTTCTACGTTTCATTGTTTTCTGTAACGAATGAACCCCTGACCAGGTTTTAAGTGTAACGGATTTTTGCAAAAGGCATGTCCTGACAATATGCCTTAGGCTATAGTGCCTACCTCAAATTTTACCAAAATTAAATTATATAATAATTAGAACACCTTTATTATCAATATCTTGATCCAATTTTGCTAAAATATGGAAAGTTACTTTGCTCAGAGAATAAACCACGTCTTAAAATCAAGTTATTGATGGATAAAAAAAAACTACTTTTTAAAGTTAATTGATGATCTTTTATATATAAATAAGTAAATATTTTGGGGTTATTTCATGATATTTATTTGATGAGATATTTTTATAAAATTATTACACACAACTCTATAATAAAATATTGTCCGTTTTGAGCTTAAATCTTTATAATTTTACTTTTAGTCATTATTCAAAAGATCTCTTAATTATTAGAATATACTTGTGTTTTATAAATTTTTTTTCTTATTTTATTGATGTAAAACTTGTTTGTATCCTAATAATCTTATTAAAAAAGACATTTATTAAATTAAGAACATGATTTGAAATTAGTGTAATTCTTGACATCGGAAAAAATTAAAAGAAAATTGCAATTGCAGTTACATTGGTTGTAGTGAGACAGAAATATCCTTTACATTGCTGTCGAAATTACAATTGCAATCTACAATTTGAATCCATGACTATAGATATAATTATCTCCCACTATATATGAATTGGTCATTTTAAGGGTGAAATGGTTCCATGCCAAGAGAATCGAATCCGGTACTCAATTAAAAAATTCCTTTGTCAATTTATTAAGACTTGCTATTACTTTGTCATTTCTGGCAAAAATAAAATAGAAGATGAATGTAGATAATATATAGAAGTACTTGTCTGAAATTTTAGAGAAGGGATACTGACAGGCATGGGCATGCAAGAGTTTGGTTCCTTGGTGAAATTTAGTTGTTTTCTTCCCATCATCAGTACATTCCACCTTTTAATTTTGGTTCTTGTGATGAGCTATAGCTTCTCTCTCTCTCTCTCTCACTATGCACTACACCTTTTACCCTTTTCCTTCTCTAAAAGCTAGATTTGGGAACACATTCTTCTGGTTCTGGGGCAGAAACTCACTGCCCAATTGCAACCCCTTTGTTATTTCACTGTCCCAGACAAAGCAGCAGAAACACCCACTTCCCAACAAGTATTCCCTCTCTACTTTCTTTTGAATCAGTCTATGTGTATTTTTTTTTTTTACATCAACATAATTTGGCTCTTGTATTATCTCAAAATCTGTGTTTGTTATATAGAATTTTTACTGTTTAAACATTATTTTAATATGAATAAAAATTGAACATGAAAGATAAGGTAAACATTGTGAACATTACTACTAGGACTACCAAAACACTAAACAAAACACTAGCAAAACTCCATGAGGCGACGACATTGACCTTAAAAATTTATTCACAGTATATGCCCAAGCTCTCCTCAAAATACAATAGGACATTTCAATTAAGAATTGAGAAGGAGAATTAGCAAGGAACTAATATAGGCAGAGAACCCAGAGAGAAGAGAGAGTGAGAGCCGTGAAAAACAATAAGGTGAAGGTATATATATATATAGAGAGAGAGAGAAAGTTAATCACTTATACACTAAAGTAAAGTTTTTTTACACTGTCAACTAATTATGTCTTTTAATTGTGTCATATCATTATAAACACATTTATTTTTAACAGTAACATGACATAATTAAAAGATATAATTACTTGCCAGTATAAAAAAACTTTACATTGACAGTGTACAGGTGATTAACTTATATATATATATATATATATGTGTGTGTGTGTGTGTGTGTGTGCGTGTGCGTGCTTTGATATGAGTGATAAAAAAGAAAGAGATAAAACAAGCATTTTATGCCATATATAAAATACTTTTGTATGCTTTGATTTAGCTTTAAAATCTTTGAAATGTAACTATAACACACATTATCTGTATGCACACTTAGTTTGACATGTTCTAAGAATTAAAATTGAATATCATTTTTGTTGCTCTATTGTGATCTTTTAATTTGTTTCAAATGTTATATCGAATGATGATAGAACTAAGTGAATGCGAGAAAATACATGTCTTTAAAAGAATGTACTTGTAAAAATCAATCCACTTGAATCAATCCATTAAATGTTCATTATTTATTGAGGCTAATGTCAAACTTCAATTTGAATGCTTGATCCTTAAAAAATTGAATTAGAAAATCATATTGGAACTCACAAATTTGTTAAAGAGAACAAAATTATGCATCCCGTTAGAACCATGGATGAAGATTCCTAAAATCACGAAAAAAAGGTAGATAAAGTCGCTACTATTGTTGCTCTGTGCTGGCATTGCTTTTCCAAGCTTTGTTTGGTATAGAAAGATGATAAGCAACTTCCTTGATTAGATAAGAGGTATCATTTGGTGAAATGCATTTAATGCTTGCATTAAATGAGTCAACAATCACCTCCCATCACAAGGAGATGTATTGAAGACAGATGAAGCAAACTTGTGAGTTGGACTCAAAATTTTGCAACAATCATCTTCTCCAAGATACTAAATAAAAAGATTCGATGTTCAAGAAAGATGAAAGGAACATGTATAGAAGGCTGATTGACCATTGTAGGGTAGTTTCTAAAACTATTTACGTAAATGAAGCTGTTTTGAAACTATTTACACCTTTGGGGGCTATTTTGTACAATGTGGCTATGGGCTATAGCGACATCCTTGCCAAGTGGCAGTTTTTTTTTTTAAATTGAGAACGGCTTAAACTTAGTCACGTAAAAGTTGCTACAGCCTATAGCGACTTAACTAGTGTCTTTACAGACTACAAAACCATTTTAAATGGCTAAATTTTATAATAAAAAATAATTTTTAATAGAAATAAAATATTATTTAAAATATAATTCATTTAAAATTTGATTTTTAAAAATATATTCATAATTTTTGTACAACAAAAGAAGATTTTTAAAATAAAATTTATATATTTGCTGGAGGCGCTATGGCCCACAGCGACACAAAGTCGCAATGGGCCATAATGACTTCCTTTTTTTTATTTTTATTTTTTTAAAATTTTTCCAGATTTATTTTATATTATATATATATATATATATATATATATATATATAAGTGTGACAGTTCGAGAGTCACCCAAAAGTCTTGCGAAAAATAAGGATAAAAATCTTAATTTATTTTTATCAAAATAAATAATTATTTAGAATAAAATATTTAATCTTCAAAGATTTGTTCAACAAAAAATACATATATAAAAGCGATATTTTTAGTGTCCAGAAAACTGTTCGTTTTATATATATGCATTTTAACAAGTGTAGGAGTATATATTGTATATATATCACACTAATAGATAAAAAAAAATATTGATAACATGATCGTCAAAATTGTTGGATAAAGTTTTACTTGACAAATTTTACGATTTATTGTATATTTACTTCTTTTTTTTTATAAATATAACATTTATTAGTATGATGTATATAACTACAAAATGATCGATCATAATTTAAATAAGTCTTATTTTAAATAAAAGTAATCTAAAAATAAAAAATATTTTACCCTGCAAAAAGGTTGATTCTCATGTGTGGGAACCCATTACCTTTTACTTTCCTTTTCAAAAGTGTAACACACATTAGTATATAAACACTTGAACTTTTTAAAATACTTCGAACATTACAAAAGTATTTTCATAAAAACCACCTTACAGCTAATGGAGCAAATAAGTTTAGTTTATAATTGGATGTGTATGCGAAGTAAAACATAACACCAAATAACAACTAGGCATGGTAACGGAGTGGGCGGGGCGAGTTTTACGTTCCTGCCTCTACTTCCGATACTCGTTATGGGTAAAATTTAAGTATTCATCTTCATCTTTGACAGTGTTCGGGTTTTCCCGCCTCATTTCCGCTTCTGCTCTTACTTTTTTTCTTTTTTTAAAAATAAATATAAACAAATTTAAAAAAAAATAAAAAAAATAAAAAAATACAAATTTTTACATATAAATATTTCTAATTTTAATTTATATATATATAAATAATTTTTTAATTATTTTATTAAGCCGAGTGGGAGCGGGAGCAAAGGTGGGTATTAACATTCCCATCCCCACTTCAATTTTTAGAGAAAACTCAAACTTGATAAATACGAGTTTTTCCATTTAAATCGAGGCATGTTCGATCTAGTATCCCGGAAATCAAGTTAGATTGACATGCGTAATAACAACAAAGTACAAAATACTCATAATTGAAAGAGAAGGGCATGAAAGAGAAACGAATATGCCATTTTGTATCGCTTGGAAACTCACATAAGCTTTACTTTTACAGAAAATAACAGACTCCAATTCCTTGACGGTCCACAAGTCACAACTTGCACATCACGTAACGTAAGTACTGCAATTGCATTTCTTTCTTCATTACCCATCAGTCACATCCTTAGTCTCTGTGTTCTCTACTCACATGTGACATGCAACACCCTAACTTCACATGCAAAAGATTCCAAAACATCACATTCATGAAACCCTAGCCTCTCTACACCAGCTTCACCACTCTACATCACACGTAGCTAGAGGCCTTTAATTAAAATCAAAAACTCACAAACACATTCTAGACAAAATATGATTGCATCCTAGATTTTAATAGCGGTTCATAACCACATTTACATCTATCATATCATACATTTTGACTTCTCTACATATAAAACTTTCAAAGCTTAAATAGAGGCCATTTTGCTGCTATTTTTCCATTGAAATCAAAGTTTTAGTTATCTCAATGATACGCGTATAAAAGATTTGCATTGAAAATCAACATAGATAAAATTTGGAAACACTATCAAATTAAAGCAGCTAATTAACCAATTGTATCCGTTTAATTACTTACTTAGTTGTTTAATTCAATTTTTCTCTTTTAATTATTAAACACCCCAACTTAATTTCTTAACTTTAAAATTAATTTCGCCTATTTAACTTAATCTCGTTAACTTTGTATTTTTTTATAACTTTATTTATATGAAACTAACAACGTTAACTTAATTAGACCAAAAAGTCAACATTGTACAATTTAAAAATTTAAAGAATCAAATCAAAACATTTAATAACAAAAAAGGCAAATAAAAAAAATTAAGAACAACTACATTTAATTTTTACCCTCTAAACAATGTAACAACTCATAATATTTTTGCTGCAATTACAACTAAAACATATATCAGATAAAAGTTCATACGAGTTTTTAAGAGTTTTTTTCACGTAAAAAAAGTACTCTTTAATTTTAATTTAAAAACTCTCAAAAACTCTTTTAATTCATATCAAATTTAGGGTTTAGGGTTCGGATTAAGGTACAAACTTTCTGTCTAAGCCACGGCGTCGTTTGGACCTGTCGTTGGAATTGGAGCGTTCGAGCATAGACTTCAAGGAGTTGTGAAGGAAGTGAATAGATTCAACGCTGTGTTCTTTATCCGCGGCCACGAGAAGCACGTTGCGCGTTCTTCCTCCGAGCGTTGCCATTTCGGCTTTCAGCGTTTTGAGGTGCAGAGACCTCAGAATTTCGACGAGGTCGGGGATGAGGTCGGAGCGGTCCTCACAGCACAGGGAGGCCCTGAACACGATTTGTCCGTCACCGCCGCCTCCGTCACCGCTGGTGGACAGAACCGAGACCTCGTCGCTCTCCGAAGGGAACGCTTCCGATTCGGTTATTTGGGATATTTGCTGCTTCAGCTCTTTCACCCTTTCCACCACCTTCGCCAGAAGCGAAGCCTTGTCCGTCTGAAAATCAGTTCAAGTCGCCAATCAAAAAGTTAATTCTCTTTTTTCCAACTCAATTATTTGTCACTTGCGATTGCGACCTTGTCTTTCTTCGAATAAAGTTAGATTGATTTTAATGAATATGAGATACGGACATAGTAGTCAATGGTTATACGTACTCTACTCAATTGGTGTAACCAATTTGGCTTTCGCTTTGTGGGTCAAAAAGTATGCAACCTTTGTGAATAAAAAGCAATAAAGATTTTCCATGTTCATAGATAATACTATTTTAATTCTAATACATGAAAGAAGATTGATAGAGTATTTATGTGGATTGAAGTATAAAATGGAAGAAATTAATAAATTAATTGTGCACATGTATATATATATATATTTTATATATACCTTGGAATTACAAGGAAGAAGGGTGCGAAGCTTATCAAGGTGGGAGTTGATTCTTTCCCTTCTTCTCTTCTCAGCCTCTTTGTGGTTCCTCAAAGCAGCAAGGGCTTTATCTTCATGAGATGGTAGTGCATCAGATGCTGCTTCCAATTCCAAAGGGTAATAAGAGAAGGTGCGTTGCATGGTGGATGATGCAGAGTTGAAGAAGGAATCATTGGTGTTTTTGAGGAGTTGGAAGAGCTCAGAGTTCTCCATCTCAATCTGATGCAAGCTAGAGATAGGTTTCTATGCTAGGTGAGGGAAACTATAGAGGGTGTGTGAAAGTGTATATCTGATAGTTTCAGTTTTTTGAGTGTGGTCTTTGATACTTATGATTGTGCTTTTTGACTGACCCCAAGAGAGCCCTTTCACAAGTGTGGAATGAAATCAAAGCCTCGGACTTCCAAACCTGCCTTTCGGTGCTCCTTTTTGTATTTTCTTTTTAATTCCACTGTTTTTTTAACCATTGTTGTTCAATGTCGGAATATTAAATAATTGGATAAAACACACTAATAAAAGAGAGTTTGGGTATTCTGTAAAATGTCTTGAATTTAAATTTTGTTGTCACTGTATATTATAAGAAAATATTTTTTAGTGTGTCGTTGATTATAGGTATATAATCAATTAACGTGTCTGCCTTCTGCGTCCCCTATCCTTTCATCGGTTAGCTTGCGTGTCTAAGGGGCCCACTTTTATCCAGACATGATCAAAATGTTGGGAATTATTAATATTTAGGGTTTTGATAACTTTAAGAGGTATATAATTGATATAATTACTAGGTTACCTTAGTGAATTCTAGTATACACATAATTTTAACTTTTAATTAGTTACTTATATGTTATTATACGTATAGATAAAAATGATATGTTCTAATAATTGAAAATGTTATAAATTTTGTTTAAATTAGATAAGGTACGATATATATTTTTTTTCCTTTGTGTAGATTTTAGATAAACATGATAAGATATTGTTCCTTTTTTTTAAAATTTTTCAAAGTATGGTTGAATTTTAGTTTGGTTTAATTATTCTACTCAATCTTGTTGATTTCTTGCTTCATCTTCAAAGCCTTCAATTGAAGTTTAGAAGATGTAGTCAAAGTTCGAATATAATTCCATTGTAACTTTTGAAGGAAGATCAGATAAAGTGTTCAAATTGTCAACAACTTCTTCTTTTTCAATCTTAAAATTTGGGTTACTTAAAGCAACATCCAAAATTTCCTTGTAAACTATATAATGAAAGGAAGTAATGTTTATTTCAAGATCTCAAATTTTCAATTTAGAGACTTCTTTGATCTTTTATCTCAGATACTAAAGGACCACTTTACCAATCCCTTAAGAAGTTGAAGATATCATCCTCTTAGTTTTCTTCATCACTATTCAGGGAAAAAAGAGTCATATTGAAATCAAGTAAAACGTCTTTCTGAGGTAGATCTTCTTTATGTGGAGGAGGCATTTCTGAAGGCTTTCCACTCGAAGGGATATTGATAATTTCTACCAAAGCATGTGGCCTTTCAAGCATCGGCTCAACTACTTGTTCTTGTAAAATCTCTTCTTCCTCTTCCTTTTTTTCTTCTAGATCCTTCAAGTCTATACTGGAATATAAAAATGAGGTTTAAAGGTGTTAAGATAATTAGTTTCTTTTGTATTTCAATAAGTTCCTATTTGTTAGGAAGTCTGTTGCTTTTTCTCATTCCTTAGAATAATCCCAGATTTATAGGAGTTGTTAGCAGTGGGATGTGACGTTGCATTATTCTCTAGCTTTCAGTTATTTGACTTTGTATTTAATTAGACCTTATGTCAATGAATAATTCATTCCATTTCCTTTTACTCAATCTCCAAAAACTTAATTCTAGTTTCCTAACATTTGGTATCAGAGCCCCTACTGGGGCCTGATTTGAAAAGCAGCAGCTTTCACTCTTGTTGCAACAAGATATTCAATGGCTTCTGATAGTGGTTTTGTGCAACCTGCGATTCCACGCTTCGATGGTCACTATGATCATTGGAGTATGTTGATGGAAAATTTTCTGCGATCCAAGGAGTATTGGAGTCTCGTTGAAATCGGTATCACTAAGCCGGCTGATGGAACAATTATGACAGAAGCTCAAAGAAAGACGTTGGAGGATCAAAAATTGAAGGATTTGAAAACAAAAAATTATTTATTTCAAGCAATAGATCGTACTATTCTTGAGACCATCCTAAAGAAGGATACTGCTAAAGACATCTGGGACTCGATGAAGACGAAGTACCAAGGCACTGCACGAGTGAAACGAGCACAACTTCAAGCTCTTCGCAAAGAGTTTGAAATTCTCCACATGAAGGAAGGGGAGTCAGTTAATGACTACTTTGCACGAACACTGTCAGTTGCAAATAAGATGCGTATTCATGGTGAAAAGTTGGAAGATGTAGCAGTTGTTGAAAAAATCCTTCGCTCAATGACACGTAAATTTGACTATGTGGTGTGCTCCATTGAAGAATCGAATGACATTGATAGTCTTTCGATTGATGTATTGCAAAGCTCATTATTAGTTCATGAGCAGAGAATGATCTGCTATGTTGTGGATGAGCAAGCCTTGAAGATCACCACTCATGAAGGAACTACTTCTACAGGAAGAGGACGTGGCAATTTTCGAGGTAGAGGCAGAGGCAGAGGACGTCATGCACAATTTGACAAGACAAGGGTGGAATGCTATCACTGTCACAAGCTTGGCCACTACCAGTATGAATGCCCTGACAAAGAAAAGGAAACCAAGGTAAATCTTGTTGAGTTTGAAGGGGAAATGCTCTTGATGGCTTACATCGACAAGAAGGAAAATTCATCAGGTGATACGTGGTATTTAGATTCTGGTTGCAGCAATCATATGTGTGGAAATAAATCATTATTTTATAATATGGATGAAACATTTAGAGAAACTGTGAAGCTTGGAGACAACTCTTGCATCTCTGTCATGGGGAAAGGGGATATCAAATTCCATATGAAAAACAACACTGTGCATACAATTTCTAACGTGTTTTATATCCCAGATTTGAAAAGTAATCTCATTAGTATGGGTCAACTACAAGAGAGGGGTTATATCATCATTATTCAACAAAGTCGGTGCCAAATTCATCATCCAGAGAAGGGCCTAATCGTAGATGCAAAAATGACAGCGAATCGTATGTTTCCGATGCACATTCAGTATGATATCCAAAAGTGTTTCTCAACAAGAGTGCAGGATCCAACATGGTTGTGGCATCTTCGTTATGGTCATTTAAGCTTCAAAGGCTTAAAGACCCTACATGAGAAGAACATGGTGGAAGGATTGCCCAAGATTAATTGCCCCACAGAAATATGTGAAGATTGTATTGTTGGTAAACAACATCGTGATTCTTTCCCACATGGAAAAGCATGGAGAGCTCAACAAATCTTACAGTTGGTTCATTCAGACATTTGCGGACCAATCAATCCAACATCAAATGGAAACAAAAGGTACTTCATTATCTTCATAGATGATCATAGTAGAAAAACATGGGTTTATTTCTTGCAAGAGAAATCTGAAGCTTTTCTTATCTTTAAAAGCTTTAAATCTCGAGTTGAAAAAGAATCTGGCAAGTACATTCAAATTCTTCGTACAGATCGTGGTGGTGAATTTAACTCACATAACTTTGCAAGTTTCTGTGAATTGCATGGAATACAGAGGCAACTTACTGCTGCATACACACCACAGCAAAATGGTGTGGCAGAAAGAAAGAATCAGACGATTATGAACATGGTGCGAAGTATGTTGGTGAAAAAAAATATTCCAAAGACTTTTTGGCCAGAAGCTGTCAATTGGAGTGTTCACATACTTAACCGAAGTCCTACCCTTGCTGTAAAAAATATAACACCACAGCAAGCTTGGAGTGAAGTCAAGCCATCAGTTGACCACTTTAAAATATTTGGATGTATTGCATATGCACATGTTCCTGATGAAAAGAGAACAAAACTTGATGATAAAAGTGTGAAGTGTGTCTTTGTTGGAGTTAGTGAGGAATCCAAGGCGTACAGGTTATATAATCCCACTACAAAAAAAATAATCATCAGTCGTGATGTTCTATTTGATGAGGAAAGCATGTGGGAATGGAGCAGAGCTGAACAACAACAACAGATTTCAATTGACCTTGAGGAAGCTGGCCAGGAAGTTAATCAACCACTGCAGTCTTCTCTTGAAAGTCAAGGGTCTCAACCTCCCGCTCAATCCCCAAGAGAAGTCTCACCAAGCTCTTCAACAAGTGCTTTAGTTCCAAATGAAGATCAACAATCTGTCTTAGAACCACAACGACAAAGGAAAAGACCATCTTGGATGATTGATTATGTGAGTGGAGATGAATTATCTGATGAGGACACTGCTGCTCATTTCGCCTTATTTACAGGTTCTGATCCTATACTATTTGCAGAAGCAGTAAAAGAAGAAAAGTGGAAAAAAGCCATGGATGTGGAGATTCAAGCTATAGAAAAAAATGGGACATGGGAGCTAACAGATCTTCCTAAAGGGCAAAAAACCATTGGTGTGAAGTGGGTTTATAAGACAAAGCTAAATGAAAAAGGAGAAATTGACAAGTTCAAAGCAAGGCTAGTTGTGAAAGGCTACAATCAAGAACATGGAGTTGATTATCAAGAGGTTTTTGCTCCTGTTGTGAGATAAGATACAATTCGACTGGTGATTTCTTTAGCAGCACAAAACTCATGGTCTATCTTCCAACTAGATGTGAAATCTGCTTTCCTTAATGGCGAGCTACTTGAGGAAGTCTACATTGAGCAACCTCCTGGTTATGTGATAAAAGGAAGTGAACATAAGGTTTATCGATTGAAGAAGGCCTTATACGGGCTAAAACAGGCACCTCGAGCCTGGTACAGTTGCATAGAAGAACACTTTGAAAAGGCAGGTTTCAACAAATGTCCACATGAGCACACGTTGTTCATAAAGTCTGGAGAAGAAGGTAAGATCCTAATAGTATGCTTATATGTTGATGATCTTATTTTCACGGGCAATGATGAGGCTATGTTTACTGATTTTAAGAACTCTATGATGACTGATTTTGACATGACTGACTTGGGAAAGATGAAATATTTTCTTGGTATAGAAGTAGTGCAAACAGCTGCTGGATTTTTTATTGGGCAAAAAAAATATGCTCATGAGATCTTGGAGAGGTTTAATATGGAAAATTGTAATCCGGTTGGGACTCCAACTGAACCAGGATTAAAGCTCTCAAAGGACCTTGATGGAGAAAGAGTTGACAGTACTTACTTCAAACGAATTGTTGGAAGTTTAATGTATTTGACAACTACTCGTCCTGATATTATGTATGCAGTATGTTTGATTAGCAGGTATATGGAA